AATTAATAAGTTTATTTAATATGAATTTGTTTAGAAAGTAAGCTAATATTTTTGTTTTTTTATATATTATATATTATAGTACATAATTAGCTATTAAAATTATTAATAAATAGATATGCTAACTTAGTAAAATAGTTAAGTTGTTGTATCTCAAGCAATATGTTGGCTAGATAGAGAGTTCAAAATCTACTGATACTGAAATTTAAATTTTTTACTTGTATTACTACTATTATCTTTTAATGATCAGTTGAAACAAGATCTCTATAACCTTAATGATACTAACAAGATTAGAAGATCATAGAATATTTATACAATATATGAGTTATACAAATAAGTTTTATGATTGTATTAATCTAAAAAACCAGAAAGATAGATATTTGCTTGGCAAGATCTGAGTAAAAAATAGTAATACAAATCGATGAACATTTTTTAATCGATTAGTTGATAGATCATTTTATTTAACTAATTGATTAATTAGTTTTTATTCAACTAATCGATTAGTTAACCAATCGATTAATCAATTAATTGATTAATCGACTAATAAACTAATCGATTAATTGACTAATCAATTGGCTACTAATTGATTAGTTGAATAAATAATAAATGAAACTTAGTAAAATAGCAACTGAAATAGCCAGTTGATATTCTTATATGATTAGTTGATTTAATTGACCAATCGACTAGTCAGTTAAATGACTAATCGATTAATCGAATTAATCGATTAGTTAGCTAATCGATTAATCAATTAGTTAGCTAATCGATTAATCGATTAGTCGACTAATCGATTAATTGACTAAGTTAGATCTGTAAAATTCAAATCGATTAGTTATTAACTTTACAACTAATTGATTAATTCGATTTTTGATTTGTATTACTAGTAGAGAGATAGCACAAATCTTTAACAAACTATATAAAAGATTATCATTAAAAAAACTGGTAAAAACTAAACAAAACCAGATATATAGCAAAGCACTTCACTAACCAGACTGCTAGAGCTAGAAAAAAAGTATTTACTTAAATACAGATATTAAAAAAACTAATAATTTATAAGTGAAAGTCTCTTCTAGGCTATCTGAATTAGTAGTTTGAAATAGCTGGATTAAACTAGAAAAACTGAACAAAACTAAGTATATAGAAAGATACTTCATCAACTAGACTACTAGAACCAAAAAAAAAGATCTGCTTAATTGCAGATACTAAAGGACCAGAGCTGCAGTCTAGTATCCTTTTTAAGCTATCTAGATTAGTAATTTAAAATTATTAAAAACACTATTAATAGTCTATAAAATATATGCTAGGGTTTAGATAAATTTTACAAGAGCAAAAGTAGGTAATAGTAGCAGCTTTAGCTTGCAAGTACCTGTTCTCAGACTTGGTGTAAGTTACTAAGGACTAGATTAGTCAAATTGTAGATATGAAAAGCTCTAGCAGGTTTATTACAAAAATAAACTAGTTCTAAGAGGCTTTAGTAACAGTTAAGTAGTGATAAAAATAATATAACAGCATGAAATCAATCAGAAAGTTTAAATAGGAAATCTATAAACAGATTTTAGATATAGCAATTAGTAGATAACTATAAATAGAAATAGATATAGCAAAATCTTTAAATAGGCAATAACTAAAATTATATATATAACTAATTATATTTTTATTAATATAACAAAGTTAGATAAGGTTAATAAGATCAAGCTAACATTTGATCCAATTTATAAATAATAAATATACCAGACCTCTAAGTGGTTACCTTAATATTTAAAAAAAATAAAATAAAAAAAATAAAATTTTTATTTTTTTAAAAAAATTTTTTTTTAATAATTTTTAAAAATTTTTTGCTAAACTATTCTTTAACAATATTAGATTTTTATATATAAAAATTATTTAAATATATAATTTTTAGATTTTTAAAATATTTTTTAGACTATACCATAAGTAGTAAATCTAAACTATTAATAAATTATATTAAATTTATATAAAAGGTATTTGATAATATTAAAATATTTTTTTAAAAAATAATTATTAATCATTTTTATATTAATTTTCTCAACAATTACTTATACTAAACTTATAATTAACAAAATCAAAAACTTGTAAAAAAATAAAAGAGACAACTATACAAGTAATAGTTTTTTTTATAGAGATTAAAGTTATTCTTAGTTTTTTGTCTTCTCAGATTTCTCTGTATATTTAACAAGCAAGTTAAAAGCATTTTGTACAAGTTAACTAGCAAAGCAGTAATGCTCTTGTATAAAAATTTTTAATAGAAGTATAGCTTCTGTTGATGAAGTAAAAAATAGCTGTCTAAAAGAAAAACAACAAATAAGTTTTTAACATACTTTTGTAATTTCTAAAATAGTTAAAAAATCTTAAATAAACAAAGATAAAATAGCCAAATTATAAAAAAAAATAATTCTTAATATGATGTATAATATTCAAAGTTAGTACTTTGCAAGATCAAATCAAATTTTAAATTTAAATTAAATATTTAAAATTATTTAATCAAATTTTTAATTGATTTGATTAAATAATTTCAAATATTTAATTCAAATTCAAAATTTGATTTGATTTTGCAAGATATTACAAAAGTATTTAACAAGTTAATAAAAACTAATAATAATAAAATATATTATAATAATAGTAAAAATAGATTTATTAATAATTTTTTTAGATTTTTAAAACTATATTTTAAAAACTATATAATATTACAAAATATAGTTTTTTTTATTTACTTCTAAAAAGCTAAAAACTGTATTTTGTTAAACTAAAACATATAATACATAGTAACTTTTTGTTTGTAATAGTTCAATTAAAATATTGTTTTAGCATAAATACTAATAGCAACTGTATAGAAATTTAGTCTCAACTTAAAATGTAATCCTTGAACTGCAATATACCATGAAATCTCAGCATATTTATTACATTTTACATATAAGTCATTAAATATTTTCATCAAATAAAAATTAAATTTGAGATAAAGTCTGGATTTTATCTGGATTTTATTTGATATCACAGATAAATTATAAATAATTACCTTACGCATTTGAAAATTTGTTACTTATATATATTAAAAAAGTATACTACGTGTGTAATCATGTTTCTTGAAAATGCACTTGTTGTTCAAAGCTATTTTTTGTCTTAATTTTTGCACGTACGTACTTACTTATGTACATACGTATGTAATAAAATTCCAAAAATGATGTTAAAAAAAGTTTATACATATCACAAAATTTATTATATATTTTATTAATTAGTCAGACAAATTTGATTGGATAATCTTTGATTGTTATCTATTTTTAAAATGTTTAAAATCTAAAAATTTCGATAGTTTACTAAGTCAAAATAGAATAAAAAATGCACTATACATAAACAAGAATGAACACTTTAATTTGAATCCAAAATCTTAAAATTGACTAGAAAGTGTCAAACATCGATTTTCCTAGTACGTAGACGACCCATTTGGTCAATTTTTATCAGGTGTGTCAGGAATTATGAAAATAGCCATAAAATTTTCAAAATTTGACCCGACCGGATTATGAAAACCAATTAATTGGTTTTGCATGGTCTTGGTTTAATTTTGTTAGTGTTATGCTTTACTTATGATGTTTAGAGAAAATATGATAAATTTTCTAAGCTACAAGGTTAGTTTGAATAGGCTAAATAGAACTATTATTAATTATATATTATATAATATGTATATCGAAATCGATATATATAGTATAATAATTTTTTGAGGTAATTCTATTTGTACGTACATTGTGTACATATTGTACCCAGATTGGAATCGTTCAGTCAGAATCAGGCTGCCTTGGATAGGGTTGGGGGCACGGAAAATCATCACGCGGGGCACGGCATAACACCCTAAATCATCACATGGTAATAATTAGTAAAATATCACAGTGTAATTAATGATTTCCATGTGATGATTAGCATCACTCCACGTGCCCCTGTGACAAATTGAAATCACACCCCCGTGCCCCCAACCCTAGCCTTGGATGGGAATTTTGTAAATTATTTTGGCAAAATTAGGACTTTAGGGTTAGAGTTAAGCTAGAATTAAGGTATAGAATATAAAAGATTTTGATTTTAGTTCGTATACAAAACTCTTATCCGAGCTGTCCCAATTCTGAATCGGGACGATTCTTATTCGATAATTAAAGTTCAATTTTGTATTACGTATAATATATGGTATTGATACGTACCATATTTTTTGGATTAGCCAAATTAATGAAACCTTCAATTCAATTGTAAATAAACACAGAAGCAAGTTTATATATAAGCATCGATTTAATTTAGTATTATTGTTACAAATAAGTCTTCAGAGCGCTGTATACTGTAATTAATGAATAACAATTATTGATATCATACTTTTTTTCGGGAGTAATACAAACTTCTAAACAAGAAATAGCAAATTATTGAGTGTAAATTTTGAATATCTAGGATTAGCCGGAATTTTAACACGTGCAAAAGAAGAAAAAAAAGACGAAAATACTCGAAATCTAATGTTAAAATCCACTTTTGTGTGCTAATTAAAAATGAAGAAAATGGTGTTTAACATATGAGTGTCGCTAAAAGAAACCCCGAAAATTTAAATATAAGTCTTATTTAAATTTTCGGGTTTTCTTTTAGCGATACTCATAATAAATTATAATTCTTAACTCAAAATTTCTACCTTCACGTACTTTTATTTAATTATTTATGATTTGGTCTTTTATTAAGAATTTTAGAATTTATGAAATAAAAAAATGCAAATTATTTATACATGTTAAATATTTTATATGTTAGGAAAAAAAAGATATAGTATTAGATCAATGAAATATGATTGGCCCGTTATCACATGATAATCACATTGTAGGAAATGATACAGCTAACACTAATGACTAGCACTAACAGTATGTCCAGCATTATAGTTAGTGCTAGAATATCGATATATCATGTGTTGCTGTGTCGATAGCAATTCCCAAATTGTATACGTAAAATAGAATCTTTATTTGATTCCAGACCAATTATTCAAATAGTTCTTCAATAACTTGCTTCATGTCACCATAACATCGTTTTCCAAACTCTATAGCATTCTTAGATGAAACCTCTATATTTACATTTCTTCGTTCCTTAGTAGAATCTTCTTGATCAGTTACATCTGAATAATTGCTTTTAATATATCCAATAACTGTAAAAAATCCAATCCACATTAATCCAATTTTTGCAATGTAGAATGTGAAAGATATTAATTTAACGAGTGCAAGGAAGGCCAACATTAAAATGATCAGTCTTTTCATTCTTTTCATGCTTTTAATGCTATTGAATAATTTCTTCATCGCATCTTTCATTTCATTAAAAGCATTCATTGCCAGATATTTGCGAGGTATGAAAGTATGATCATAATATTGTGCTCCTACAGTGGCTTGATTATACTGCGGAGAAATGTATATATATGCGTATGTTCTGCGATCTCCGAAAATTAAATACAAATGGCGCTTGAATAAGCCAAAACGAGTATTATAACTACAAGAAGATTGTAACCATATATTGACAAACTCTTGAATAATTTCATCACTAGTTGATTGTTTGGTAGAAACTTGTCCAGGTCTATCTTCAAGTTTATTTCCTGAATCACCTGCAAGGATCCAACTGTCTAAATCTTCTTCATCTGATAATATAAATTCCATATTTGATATTTGATCAGATGAAATGTTCCTTAAGTCTAAGTCACTGGAAAGAGTTTTAGTATCACCATTATGATCAGTGTAAGACAACGAAATAGAATTTTCGTACGGGATCTTGAATAGATCACAGAAGTGAGATTTAAGTGAATCCCAATTGGTTTTGTCAGAAAGCGTAACTTTATGTGTGGTATTATTATAAGTTACTTTAATGGCTTTCATTTTATTAAAAAAAAGTTTCATAACATAAATCACTAAAAGACACTAAAGGGAGAGAATTAATATTGTATTTAATTACAGGCTACGAGAAATTAAGAGCTCATTTATTAGTTTTTTTTCTGTCAAGGATTTCTTTCTTATCTTTTTCGGGTTAAATAATAATCACGAGAATGGTTCATTATCTCAATACGGAACATTTTAAAGGATACATAAGTGCATTTGCGAAACGACACGTCAGAAAGAATTCGTTCATGACTGATGCATGACTGATGTTTTTGTTGATAACGTGGTCCTCACCTGAGCAGGATTGACAGAACTATTCGTTATTTTTGGAAATATCAATTTGCTTCGCCGGAATATCGGACTTTGATTTCGTACAACATTGGATAATTTGTAATAAGTGAATAATTCATATTGATTTCCTTATTGTTTTCCTAGACAAAATTATTTGAAGTTGATAATGTTTTGCCTGAGTTTGTAATTTATCAATGTCAGGAGTACGGAATTTCGTGATTTAAACTGATTGGTTCGGAATTCTTTTTTCCAAAAATTTGTTTCATTAAACAGCCGAATATCCATGTTTAGAGATAGAGTCGCAGCAAACATTCCGTCAATAATGCAAGTCTTTGATATTTTTCCGATGATGTGTTTATTGTATCTATAGTAATATTTAGTCATGATGTAAGAAAGTTTTAAAATTTGAAAAAACAACTACGCCAGAATTTCCTTTGTTACTGTAGACGAAATCTTCGTATTTTACGGTGGATTTTTGTGCACTGATAGAGAAATTATGTAATTACTTCATCGTTCATCTATTAAAGCCAAAGTAAATAAATAATAGAGATGCAGGTGAAACTTCCGTAACTATCGCCGTAACTTAACTATCTCTGTAATATGTATGAGTTATGGCATTGTTGCCGTAACTTTACTATGTTGCGACAAGTTACGGTAATAGTTACGGTAAGTTAAAGAGTTTCGCCTGCATCTCTAATAAATAATAAAAAAACTATTCTTTTAATCATTTTAAATAACTGATTTTCTTATTTTAATTATTTTTTTTTATTTTATTTTTAATGCACTATTCTTTTTAGTAATTTTATTTTCATTATTTTGGTTCTTAGACACTATACTCTCGGATAACTTACTTTAAATACATTAATACTCATAAAACAAAATTAACACTAATGATATTATGTATGAGAGGTGTTCTAGGAAAATGTTATAAAGTTTTATTTTATGAACCCCAATTTAATAATTCACTAGTACATGATCATGTACGTCTATTTAATAATTACAAATAGTTAGCTAAACGTACAAAACTACTCATTTATTTAATTCTTACATTTTACACTTATTTATGAATATTGCATTTTACATTAGGTTACATGATTTATGCGTTTATACTATGAGTGACGCCAAAGGAATGCATAAACTTAAATTCACGAAGTCTGATTTCTCCTTGGCGATACTCATATACAGTCGACTCTGGATATAACGAACCTCCATATAACGAATTCTGGATATAACAAACCCAAAATTTTAAACTTCCATAGTAGTTCGGTATAGAAAGTGCCATGGGTTCTTAAGAAAACATAGTAATTTTCTATAACGAACTTTTTTTTCCTTCCAGAACCGTTAGTTCGTTATAGAAAGAGTTGACTGTACAATCTATTATACTATTTTAAATAAGATTTTGTAATAAAGTTTATAACAAAATCATTACCACAAATATCCAATTTTTTCAAGGTATTGTTCTTGTAAAATGCATTAGTAAGTTCTTTTACGACGCCTAATTCAAAATCATTATCGAGATAATTATAACAAAGATATAAAGAAGTCAGCATCTGCTAATGCTTTTCCACCTTATGTTTTAACGTAATTAAAATTAAGATCCAAAGAAGTCAGCGTGGTGTTCTCGCAAAGTGCATATGCTAATGCTTTTCCAACGGTTGTTTATTTAAACTAAGATTCAAAGAAGTCAACGTGGTGTTTTTGCAAAGTGCAAATACTATTCCTCCAATTAATCCAATTTCCTCCTCCTGATCCAAGATTATTCTTCTAAAAACATTCCATATCCAACCATTCCCTCCAAGATTTAAAGAAGTCAGTGTAGTGTTTTTGCAAAGTGCATCTGATAATGATTTTCTTTTTTTGATCCAAGGTTATTTATTGTCTCGAAGGTTCAAATTAACTCGATCATTTTTATTTTTTTTTGTTCCATATCTACAACTGATATCCCAAGTTGAAGCACCTTTTTGATCTTCATCACTGTGGTGGCCATTTTGGGTCATATTCAACTTTATATGACCAAGGTAGTCATAATATAATAGTAAATTTTATAAGTCATAACA